CAGTCTCGGCCAGAGGTCAATTCTTCGTACTCTCTTCATCCGCAAAAAAATCGTATATGCCCGTCCTGCCACAAGCCACTGCCTACGTCACTTCCGGCTTGTACGGCTCAAGGCTGCACCTATATCAGACCAGCTCCGAAAGAGTTGACGAGGGATTACTTTGCCCTTTTCGGATTACCTGGTCTGCCTAAAAAGGGTGAAGATGCAAAGGGCGATACGAATGCTCGTAATGCGTTCCACATCGATCCTAAAACCCTTCGGGATCGGTTTTTGAGGATTCAAAAGGTTTGTCATCCTGATAGATGGGCACGGCATGGCGAGGTGAGAGCACTCATACATGAACTCAACGATTCTAACACTCACGTCATCTCTATGAATCCATAGGAGGCGACAGAAGCTGCCGTTAGCCAATCCGCTCTCGCTACAAAAGCTTACCAAACCCTGCTCTCTCCTCGATTACGAGGCGAATACATTCTTTCGCTAAACGATGTATACATTAATGAAGCCGACACGATGGAGCAGGAGCAAGAATTAATCATGGAGGTGATGGAAGCCCGGGAAGAACTCGAGGAAGCTGAAGGGGAAGAAGTTTTGAAGCTGCTAAAGCAAAACGAAGGTTCGTGTACTCATCTTGTTCATCAACTTCTTTAACTGAACATTCGATTTAAGAGAGGACAGAGAAGTTGACCATGGAATTGGAGAATGCTCTCGCAAATGAGGATTGGTCAGAGGCAAAGAGGCTCGTGATTCAACTCAAATATTGGGAGTCGTTCCGAAGAGCAGGAGAAGGTCAAGATGTAGATCATTGAGGGCTTACCATGTGATAGATCCATCAGAAGAGACCTTATGAACAAGAAGAGAGGTTTTCTAACTGGAATCATTACCATTACCGATGTAGTAGCCGTTCCAAATAGCCGTACATTTTATAGATCCGGTTAATAAACGCCTTAATGGCCCGATCGGGAATTTAGTATGATCTCGTGCTATCATTCTAGCCGTCTCAGACCATTTGTAAACTGTGGAATGGCTTCTTACAACTTATTATCAATAATGACCCACATGTGCAACTTCAATATGTCCCTCAATGGTGCAGTTTGAACTAGCTAGCCTACATTGATAGAGGGTGTATGGAGACGTTTACCAATGATAGAAATGATAGCAATACAACAATCATACACCCTATGCTTATATCCCATCTCCTCCAGTGCTTTCTTGGCCTTTTCTGCATACACAAGTGCTTGAGCATCCTCACCAAGTCTGCTTTGGTAAACTGCAAGACTATAGAGAGATGTCAAGGTGTCTGGGTGCGTTTCTCCAAGAATTTGCTCCCTCAGCTGGAGTACATCTTCCCCTAACTGCTTTGCCTCCCAGTACTGACCAAGATCATAATATGTGGAAGCAAGATTTGCTGAGGCTCGAATGGTGTCTGGATGCCGCTCTCCTAGAATTTCCTTCCTCAATTCAAGTACATTCTCCCCCAACTCCTTTGCATCCTGGTACTGACCAAGATCATAATATGTAGAAGCATAGGGTGTATGATTGTTGTATTGCTATCATTTCTATCATTGGTAAACGTCTCCATACACCCTCTATCAATGTAGGCTAGCTAGTTCAAACTGCACCATTGAGGGACATATTGAAGTTGCACATGTGGGTCATTATTGATAATAAGTTGTAAGAAGCCATTCCACAGTTTACAAATGGTCTGAGACGGCTAGAATGATAGCACGAGATCATACTAAATTCCCGATCGGGCCATTAAGGCGTTTATTAACCGGATCTATAAAATGTACGGCTATTTGGAACGGCTACTACATCGGTAATGGTAATGATTCCAGTTAGAAAACCTCTCTTCTTGTTCATAAGGTCTCTTCTGATGGATCTATCACATGGTAAGCCCTCAATGATCTACATCTTGACCTTCTCCTGCTCTTCGGAACGACTCCCAATATTTGAGTTGAATCACGAGCCTCTTTGCCTCTGACCAATCCTCATTTGCGAGAGCATTCTCCAATTCCATGGTCAACTTCTCTGTCCTCTCTTAAATCGAATGTTCAGTTAAAGAAGTTGATGAACAAGATGAGTACACGAACCTTCGTTTTGCTTTAGCAGCTTCAAAACTTCTTCCCCTTCAGCTTCCTCGAGTTCTTCCCGGGCTTCCATCACCTCCATGATTAATTCTTGCTCCTGCTCCATCGTGTCGGCTTCATTAATGTATACATCGTTTAGCGAAAGAATGTATTCGCCTCGTAATCGAGGAGAGAGCAGGGTTTGGTAAGCTTTTGTAGCGAGAGCGGATTGGCTAACGGCAGCTTCTGTCGCCTCCTATGGATTCATAGAGATGACGTGAGTGTTAGAATCGTTGAGTTCATGTATGAGTGCTCTCACCTCGCCATGCCGTGCCCATCTATCAGGATGACAAACCTTTTGAATCCTCAAAAACCGATCCCGAAGGGTTTTAGGATCGATGTGGAACGCATTACGAGCATTCGTATCGCCCTTTGCATCTTCACCCTTTTTAGGCAGACCAGGTAATCCGAAAAGGGCAAAGTAATCCCTCGTCAACTCTTTCGGAGCTGGTCTGATATAGGTGCAGCCTTGAGCCGTACAAGCCGGAAGTGACGTAGGCAGTGGCTTGTGGCAGGACGGGCATATACGATTTTTTTGCGGATGAAGAGAGTACGAAGAATTGACCTCTGGCCGAGACTG